GGGTGAAAAAGGGGGCGGTGGGCGAAAAAAGTTTGAAAACCACTGGTCTAGACTGTTTTAGAAATCCAAAATTCTGGATAATTTATCCGCAAAAATAAGCACTCTGTTAAATGAAGTCAAACTCCAGAGAACAAAAGAGATTTTTTTAAAAACAGTCGCTGTCTTAGTCAACATACCATCATTCCAGCTGCATAAGCCTTTTTCTTGCCAAACTTCACAGATATAAACTGCCAGAACGGCATCGAAAGTATAGACACAACCTGAAAATGAGAAATGAGATGATTAAGGATGACAATAATAATAATAATAATTATAATAATAATAATAATAATAATAATAATTATGATAATAATAATAATTGAGATGATTAGTAATGACAATAATAATCATTAATATTATTTTTATTATAACAACAATAATAATAATAATAACAAAATAACAACAACAACAATAATAATAGTAGTAGTAATAATAATAATAATAGTAATAAAAATAAAAATAAAAATAATAATAATAATAATAGTAATAAATAGAGCATTTATGGTCTCTTAGGTCAATGTCACTGTCAGGATTTGACTGTCTTGAAAGACATAAACTGAAGATAAGAAACGAGAGCATAACATAACACACATATTCCTTGACGAACACACACTTATCTTTTCTAGACAAAAACCATACTGGTTTTTTTTTTTTTTTGGGTAAGTGTTTTACGGCGCTCCCAACTGCATAAGGTCATGTGAGCGCGCGGGACACATTAAACTTTTTCAGTTGGTAGGAAATTTCGAATTTTGCCCATGTGGCGGCTGAAACCTCATATTGTTTCTAATTTCATCATTCACAAACACAACAGAAGGGAAACCTCCAATGTTCAAGACCATAATGTACTATAAACAGAGATAAAAACTTAAAAACTTTCCTTCTGCGATACCATATTTGAGATTTTCGTATTTTCAGGGGAAATCAAGTTCTGGCTCTTTATTTTCCTGCTCTCTAGCCATGTTCTGTCGTCTGCTTTCACCTCCACATTCTGCCCCCATCCCTTCACCTCCTATGTCCCCTCCTCTGGGCTCTTGACTCTTTCTGCAGCCTTTCTACTGCTATTCCTTGGCTCCTTTCTTACTGCTGTCTTTCAGCCACATCCCTGATCTTCTGGTAGGAAAGATCTCCATCTAGTGTTCTCAAACAAGGGCGAACAATCTCGGAGGTCCAGAGTGCAATTTGCGCACATTAAAGATCCTTGGTGGTTCAAAATCGATAGTAGGCTTCGGCCGCCACCCGGGCAAAATTCAAAATTTCTTCTTTCCTATCAAACGTCTATCGCCTTTATCTCTCCTCCTTCTTTTTTGTGTTTGTTACTCTCTCTTAGACACCCGGGGCAGTGCCACTGACTGTAGTGTCTTTACGCCATTCCCAAAGGGGGACATTTCTCGTTCAAGCACAGTAGTATTGTAAATAGGCTGACTCATCAATGTCACGCTCATAACTGTGCCTGATCTACGACAGGGAACTGCTGTTTTTTCTTTCCTGATCCTTACTATTGTCATTTTTCCTCTACTTATTTTGTATGTTTGTCACTCTCTTGTAACCTGCTATTTCCGGGGTGCCTTGATAGTCAAGCAGACATAGTGCTGTTGAAGCTAGAGAGGTGAGCAAAGTAAGCCTGATTCCCTGTAAATACTTCTCTGTTGATACCCACCCCTTGGCGCTCATATGACCTTATGCAGTTGCGAGGGCCGTAAAACCCTCTACTTAAAAAAAACAAACTCTCTCTTGTAACACCTCTAATCTTCGGCACTTATATGACCTTATTGTGTTGCAAGTGCCGTAAAACACTAACTAAAACTAAAACAAAGGGAGCGATAGATAAGAACAGATCTGAGCGGCTCTGCATAAAAAAACAGGAGACAGTCAGCCGCTGTGAGCTGAATCATAGGTAAAAAACGTTGCACAAGACAGCTAAACGTCCCAATCACCGGCAGGCACTTACCAGCAGCACAAGAATGAAGAAGGAGAAATCTTCTCCCATCTTGAGCGTATGTGTGCAGAACAAGGCGACGTTGCCCTGGACAATCTGAGGAAAATGTTACCAAGAAATTGTAAAAGACTCTAGCTCCACTGGCCACAAACTCATCAACAAAACGATTACAGTGAGGAAAACTGTCAGACGATGGAAGCAAAAGTGCAAAAGTCAATTTAGATGATCACAAATGTTTCCCTGGGGTTTCTAAGAAAGTCAAACTTCACAGAAATATGAAACATTTTTTTCTTCATTAATAATAATAATAATAATAATAATAATAATAATAATAATAATAATGATAATAATTGTAATAATAATAATAATAATAATAATAATAATAACAATAATCATAATAATAATAATAAATAACATTTGTACAGCCCAAAACCCCGCTCGACAGCAAGCTCTATGCGCTTTACACTACATTATTACCCCCAGAAGACCATAGATCACTCAAAAACATTCTCAGCTTCCAGAGAGGGATCTAGTGCATTAACATTAACAATAAAGTATTAGTCAAAAACATTCTTCTGATAATAGCAGTCTTTAACTTCCCTTCCAAAAGTGCATTTTGCAACAGGCTGCATATGGTGGAGTATGCAAAACAATGATAGCTTTTTGTTGCTTTTTTTTAACCAAGCAAAACACTTTGAAGGGTTTCCCTGACTTTTTCTTTTGCTAGCGTCTTTTAACACTTCTCTCATTTGAGACAACGCTAGAGTAAGAAAGAAAGTCTTCAAGTTTTTTCAAGTAATTCAGTATTTTTTCAATGATGAATTAAACAAGAGGTATGTGTAGTCTTTGCTGTAAAGTGCACTGTCCAAGAAAAGAAGATGATTACAATTCTACTTTTTTTTCAGACTCTATCCTCTAGTGTTTTAATTTTTTTGTCTTTACTTTGACGTATAACATATCAACTTTATTTGGAAAAATAGGTCCTGTGACTGTCCACTCTAAGACCACCATCAACCTGCCACATTTACAACACACTAGTCAGGCAAAAACACAGAAACCCTTCAGCATGGAAAGATTCCAAATGAATAATTCCAACACGCTTGTCATCATAAAAAAAGTTCTTTCTTAAGTGCAGCACTTACCTGAATGGCGATTGTGAGACACAGAAAGGTCAAGGACGCCCATAAGTACGGCTTGAACGTGAACACAAGCTTGATGCCCTGGAAAAATCCCATGTGGTGTTCTTTCTTCTCTTCAATTATTCCTGCAAACGAACAACAGCAGAGAGTGCTTTGAGTAAAGAGGAGCAGAGAGTGCTTTGAGTAAAGAGGAGCAGAGAGTGCTTTGAGTAAAGACAGCAGAGAGTGCTTTGAGCAAAGACAGCAGAGAGTGCTTAGAGTAAAGCGGAGCAGAGAGTGCTTTGAGTAAAGACAGCAGAGAGTGCTTTGAGTAAAGACAGCAGAGAGTGCTTTGAGTAAAGACAGCAGAGAGTGCTTTGAGTAAAGAGGAGCAGAGAGTGCTTTGAGTACAGAGGAGCAGAGAGTGCTTTGAGTAAAGAGGAGCAGAGAGTGCTTTGAGTAAAGACAGCAGAGAGGGCTTTGAGTAAAGACAGCAGAGAGTGCTTAGAGTAAGGAGGAGCAACTTGTCACGATAAAAGTCAGTTGAGTATGTCGCGACCTCAGTGCTTTCTTGTCGTATCTCCATTCTTTTTTAATATTGACAATGTGACTTCTTCATAAGCTCCCTCTTTGTTATGAACTGTTTTCACTGTTATTAAAAATGGAGATATGACAAGAAAGCACTGAGGTCCCGATGTGTTGGGAAGAGCAAGACAGATGGACAGAAACAAAAAAAGTAAACGGGCGAAAGTCAAGAGGTAAGCAAACGGATGAAAGTCAAGAGGTAAGCAAACGGATGAAAGTCAAGAGGTAAGCAAACGGATGAAAGTCAAGAGGTGAGCAAACAGATGAAAGTCAAGAGGTAAGCAAACGGATGAAAGTCAAGAGGTAAGCCTACCAGTGGTACCCACCAGTCACCCACTTGGTAGCGAGACGACTATCAACAGCAACGAAGATTTTAAAACAGCATTAGAACTTCTCTTTAGAGTATGAGTACCACAATAACACTAGAATAGAACAAAGTTTGACAATCTGTAAGTATTCCCATAATTCCAGGGCTGACAAACCACATTACACACCTCAAAGCACATTACACACCTCAAAGCACATTACACACCTCAAACCACATTACACACCTCACAGCACAGGATAATACATTAGTGAGGCAGAGTGGTGAAATCAGGCGCTCGTAAAAATAACAAACTCGGAGATACAACCATTGTTCCGCCAGTTTAGAAATTTTGATCAAATTTTTATTTTTTTGCTTAACCTCTTTAATGTCCATATAAAAACCCCCATTTCCATGTGAATTTAAACTGAAAAACATCGATTAAAGGAACAAAATATGTCATTTTTCAGTTTTCAAAGACGCTTTAGCCACGGGAGTCACCAAACTTTGGCGGCCATTTTCTTGGTAATTTCACCACTGAAGCCAGGAGACTTCACTTCCTGCAATTGCAGATATCTTGAGTTCTATTCAACATAAATGGACATCTATTTCATTGGAAGCAAGGTAAATAAAACACATGATACAAATAACTCCACATGCCCAAAAACTGACGACCCCTGATTCCACTGCGTCGCGACACTTTTTCCTGCAATCATTCTTGTCATAGTTGTCATCAGCACATTGAGCAAAAGACTCAAAAGTCATTCATTCTTTTGCTCGTTGGCTCTAATTTAATGTTCTTTACTAAGTCAAACTCTCCAGCTAAAGCATACTATATATACATACATACATGTAAGGAACTAAATTAAAACATTCAGTAAAAGAGTAACACTAAAATAAATAATGAAAGAACGAAAATATCTGCAAATCCAGTTACTTAAAAAGAAATAAGAAAAGAACTTTGCCTCATAAATGAACGTTTTTAGAAAAGAGAAACCTTTTTTTGAATGCACAATCTAAAAAAAACACAGTTCTCAGGCTTAAAATTAAAAGACTGATTTAACTCTTTAAACCCAGAGTTTTTTCACTGTTTCCCCTGAGTTTTTTCTACAGTGACCTAAACTTGGTGCACTGTGTCTCATTATAACCCCAAAAGCTTGCCTCCAACTTCTAAATTGCGGAAACAAAAGGCATAGTCATTACTAAAATACTTGGATCGGGAATAGTTCCGAAAAACAAGCAAAAACTAGCACTAAATGAAACGAAACAGTTGTCACTAGTATCGGACGCTACCAGCGCCCGATGGGGGAACATGGTGATTACTACCAGACGCTACCAGCGCCCGATGGGGTTTAAAGAGTTAACAATTCCTGAGCAGCTGACTGATGAACTTTCCAAATAATGTTGAAGTTCTATATTCAAAATCTGAGAGGGCCCGGAAATGTTCTCCTCCCTTGTAGAAGGTTTTCCTCTATAATAACATAATATTATGACTGTAATTACCTCAAATGTGCTACACAGAGGGTGATTATTAAAATCCAAACACCAATAAATAGATAACTACTAGCTGGGCCCCCTTTCGATGAAAGGAATGATCGGTGCATTAACACCAACTGAAAGTCATTGGCCTACTATATTACAGTCTATTGGAATGGAACAATAAATCTTGAGAGAAAAGTGACACACGTGTTTCTAAGTTGCCAAATATAGTATAATAGAAGTACAGATTGATTCTCTATTCCCCTTTGGTGGTTGTGCACTTCACAATTTCAAAGGTGTGGAACCAGTGCACACGGATAGTGAACGAAAGCCGTACTTGAAATAAACAAAACCTCGCGGATTTTCTAAAATTACAGAGACAGAAGCGTCGGCCAACAAAAGCGATGGCTAAATAAAATTTTTTTAAAGAATCTTTTGGCGAAAACCGCATGCCGATCGATGCAGTCATTACAAAGCCTTTTGAATAGCAAAATTCGGCCACCACAAATACATAATAGAAAAACTCTGACATTCTAAACGAAGTACCTTTCTTCTCTCGAGAGCCAAAGAAGACGACGAGACAGCACACCAAGTAGAGGCCAATCACCACGGATGACCCCTGCATGTATGCATCACGCTGGAAAATATCAACGGTAAAATTAACACTTTAGTCTAAAACCATGCAATAATCACCGTTGTCACAAGAAGATAAAAAAAAGTCTATATCACAACTT